AAATTTTTAATTATTTAGGATTGCTCATTTGGAAAAATTATTATTACTAAATAATGTTTCAACAGCAATTTAAAATATATTTCAAAATATTAAAAACTTAAAGCATTTTCACTCATAATGCTTTATCTGGAAAATATATATTTCATTGAATTTTTGGATTTCTCAAAATAAATTTACCCGAAAGCTTTATTTTGGAATGTGAACTTTAATATTTGAATGAATCAAGTCACATGTCAATCGAAATAAATATTAAAGTCTACACTGCAATATAAAGCTTTTTCAGATCATTTTTTTACCTAATAAATTCAATAAATCAATCCAGAAATATTATTAAAAGGTTTTCTAATAAAGTATTTAGAGAAATTTTATATTCTATATGTTCAATGAATATTTAAAATATTCAAAATTATTTTTAAAATATTATTCCCATAATAATAAATTTTATCTAGATTACATATTCAAAATTTTTATTTTTCGAAAAATATAAGAATTTAAAAATTTATTTTCAACATTCAACTATGTCATGTTGTAAAAAGAAATTATGGAGGGGCAATAAGATATTTTGCAATAATTTCTTAGCTCTTTCTGCTTTTCGAGTTTTGACTCTTTTTATAAACTTAAGGTCTATATTGGTGAAGATTAAAAAGAAAAAAAAAAATGAATTAGTGATGAAGCTTAAGGAGTGTTTCATTTTGCACCTCCAATATCTTTTTGCACCTCCAACTTTTTCAATTTTTTTTTACTTTATTAAATACGTTTTTACGAAAGTAACCCTACATCTCTTTAACTCTGCACTCTTTTAATAAAAAATTTTAAAAATTTGTTTCTTATTTATAATTTAATAATTATTTAATTTAATTTAAAAATTTAATATTATTTAATATATTTTCATATTTTAATAATTATTAAAATATAATTTGTATTATTACAATTGTTATATTAAAAAAGTTAAAATTAAAATAATTAAAATAAAAGTAATAATAATAAAAAAATAATAATAAAATAATAATATAAAATTTGATTTAATGTATATAAATATATTAAAATATTAAATTAATAAAATAGAATTTCAAAACTTTTAGATTTCTTAATTGCTATTATTTTTATTTTAATCTTTTAATATTACTATTATAATATTATAAATTATATTTTAATAGTTATTTAAATACAAAATATATTAAATAACATTAAATTTTTAAATTAAATTAAATAGTTAATAAAATATAAATAAAAACAAATTCTTAAAAACTTTTTGTTTCGGAATTGGAAATCCGATACCAGCATTCGATGATTGATTTTTTTTTAAATTTTGATTTCTATTTAAAATTTAAAAATAATTTAATAATTGAATAATTGAATATAATTTAATATATTTATATATATTAAATTAGATTTTATATTATTACTTTTATTTTAATTATGATTTTTTAAATATAATTATTATAATAATACAAATTATATTTTAATAATTATTAAAATATGAAAAAATATTAAATGATATTAAATTTTTAAATTAAATTAAATAATTATTAAATTATAAATAAAAAACAAAGTTTAAAAAATTTGTTAGAGGGGTACATGAATTTCTAATGTGCAAGATGAAGATGAAGTATCGGAGAGACGCAGGTCAAACACCCAAGCATAAGCAATGGAGAAGGTGGAACTAAATATTAAGCTTCCCACCCAACAATCTCATGGGCTGATCCAATTCAAGGTAGTGAAAAAAAAAATTGGTCAATATTTGCCTGATGTAACTATCATATGAAAAAAAATGGTAATGCTAATTTCAAATTCTAAATATTAAATAACAGATCTTTGCAATTGGCATCTTTACTTTAATTAATAGATAATGATTTGGATATTTTTTTATTTAGTGAAATGAGTGAGTTTAACTGTTTATTATTTTTATTTTCTTGATATCTTTTATGTTTCTCATCCTTTATAATTCCATTTCTTCACCTAAAATAAGTGATTTGACTTCTGCCACTTTTAATTTCTCTTCTAATTTTCGTTCTGGAAAATATGATATCACTACTTTCATTAATAATTTTGGTTTTAAAATAAATAAATAACATTTGCATCTATATATACTTGATATTATTAATTTTAGAAAATTCATGACATCCGGTTATATGATTTATTTAGAAATTTATCTTTTATTGCACCTAACTTTGGTGTTTTTATTTAATAGGATTTTATATGGTCTTATAATTTTTTATTTATATTTTTTAAGAAAGTTGCATATTTTGAATTATTGCATACTTTTCATGCAAAGATTATTTATAATATGAATTTCAAGAAACTGAATATCATATTAAAATTGTGATAATTTAAAGTGAATATAGATTAAAGAATTTTAGTCATTTTATTAAAATCACAACATATACATATGCATGTGTAGATTGGGAGTGTCCATTTGTTTTTGTGTAACAATTAATAATCACAATTGATAAATAATATAATCACATAAAAATAGATTTAAGTTTTTTTATCATATATGTATATATTAAATCATACACAAATATTATACACATATTATTCATGAATAATTTCAATTATTAATTTAATCAACATCAAAACAAATGTTTAATTACTAGTATTTTGAAAATACTATTGACATCAACCATCATATATGTTTGATTTTACTTTCGAAAGACAAAGGTAATGAATTACACTAATAGATCTTCATTTGTCATATTACCCCACTAAATTTTCATCACAACAAAGCTAGGAACATCTTTCCATTCATGTGACAAGATAATTCCTTATGAATTACTATACATAGTTTTTTTTTTCATGTTCCAAACTAGATAATAAGAACCTCATTTGGACTCTTACAACCTTATTTTCCTCTATGATTCCAATATCAATAGAATCATGATATCTCCTTCATGATCCTTAATACATTGTCTACTTCTCAACACAATTTCTCTCCCTCTGTGTTATGACAACCATAATTAACATCATACACTTTCATTCATGTATTCTCATATTAATTCAATTATTAATATTATTCATTCTTCTTTTAACACATTTAATAACATCCAATCCAATGTGTAATCAATAACATAATAATATGAGAAAAGATAAACAAATTTTAGCATTTATAAACGTTTGAAAACATGTTTTTCAATGTTTAGAAAATACTCTCTTTCTCAATCAACACTTTACTTGCTTAACTAATTAAGCACATTATAATTGTTGGAAACATCGGTATTTGTTCCCTCCTTTGCTAACCCAAAATGGATACTATGCGGAAACGTAAAAATAACTGTGTATGCGTAGGGAAAAATAACACCCGAAATTTTAACGTGGAAAATCCTCTCGAAAAAAACCACGGGACCTAGTCCAGAAAATTATCTCCACTATGAAAGTATGATTAGAGTGTTTCTCTCACTCTCTGAGGATCTCTCAATAAATCTCACCCTCTTTGATGGTATTCAAAAGCATTCTCTTTTGCACACTCACAGTTTCTACTACACAGTGTCTTTCACCTCTCAGTCATGTTTCTCTCTTCACGGTAGTACCCGTGGCTTTCTCTCTTTCTCCTCTTGAATTCTTTCTTCACCGTTTGATTCTTGGTGAGTTGTGTTTTGCTGCACATTTTGCATTCATTTTATAATGAATGAAGGAAGAAAGGACAAAAAACATGGTTGGTGCATATTGGAACAATTTATGGAGCTTTAGTGAAGGTGGAAGACATTCTTCCTCAATATATATGGTATACGAAAATTAATGCAATAATAATTAATGCAACCACCATTTTGCTAACCTAACCAAAGGTGTTAGTCTGCCAAACAAATTTTAATCTCCTCCCAATGCTCAACGAATTAAGCACATTTATCATTCACAAATACTCTTCATTTTCTATACAATTAACCCTCCCAGTGCATTCATCAAGTAAAATCCAAACTTCAGTTTATTTTCACACAATAAAACTAGTGTCTTTAATAAATGATCGCAATGCAAATACAATTTACCACATAATAACGATAAAACCTAAATGATATCACACATTTTATCACATGATAATTTAATGACCACACAATTCAACACAAACATTTGATCTATGTAACTTCTCTTACTTGATTTTAATGAGTTATCACCTCCTTCCTCTATATACTCCCAGCATTATCTTAATAAGTTACCTCTTTATTTTGCAACTCTTTTCCTAATTTCCTCTCACTTTATTTATTTATAATCACTTGCTTATAGATGGTCTTACGAAAATTTTGGAGATAAAATATGGACAAGTACTTCAAAGATAATTTTCATATGATAAAATAAGTGTTTAACCTCTCTATCTCTTTAAAAAAATCTTTAAAATGAAATAAAATCTCTTAAATTAAATAATTTAAATACCAAAAATTATATTATGTTCCGTGACTCTTAACATAGCTTTCTTAGGCTTAACAATCGAACATCGTTAAGAAATAATTTTTTAAGATTAAAAAGACATGATAATAAATTATGAGAAATACCACAAAAATTCTTTGAATTAAAAATTATAATTATGACGTACTTTTAAATATCAGCATAAATTAGACGTATGAAATTGATGTGTATGATAAAAAAAATATACTTATTTTAAAAAAAAATATTTCTTAACAATTCAACATAATTTAATAATCAGAGACAAATAATCTTTAAATATTGAAAATATATGATAATGAATATCTCAGTTAAAAACTTTGAATTGAAATATTAGTTTTATGCATTAATATAGCACCTCTTATATTATTTTTGTATTATACACATAAGTGTGTTTTAAAAAAAATATTATTTCTTCTAAACTAAAAAAAAAAATAAAAAGGCTACTATTGTATCGTGAATGTCCATTCGTCCATCTTCACGGGTTTGCTTATATATATAACCATCGTCTTCTTCTTCCTTGCAAATAGAAAATTTTAATATACTACCAACAGCCCCAAAACCAAAACCTGCTTCAATCAGTAGCGAGAGTCTGAATTCAACAAAACCTAATGCTTCATATTCAACATATGGATTCCCCAACTCTTCTCTTCCCCCAACCCGATCTCTATTTACAGACTCGCGCTGGCAACCGCATTCCAGCGCACGCTACCATTCTGGTACATATTTCTTTCTTCTTTCTTCAATTCGTAATTCCGTTTCTCACTCTCTTCAAATTTAATTTAATTTAATTTAATTAATCCCCCAGGCTTCCGTATCCCCGGTTCTACAAAACGTGATAAAGTCCTCCAACCGAATCGTCAAAATTCACGGCGTTCCAGACGCTGCCGTCACGGCTTTCGTAGCGTTCCTCTACTATGCCAGGTTCCTAGTTAGTTATTATAGTAATACGAAAGTAGAGGTGGTGAGTTAGTTATAGCTAATTGCTGACGAGGAATGATAGGATGCGTGCAGGTGCACGGAGGAGGATATGCATAAGTACGGAATGCACCTTCTTGTACTGTCGCACGTGTACATGGTGAAGCATCTGAAACAGCGGTGCATCAAGGGACTGGGCGACCGCGTCAGTACGGAGAACGTAGTGGACGTGTTGCAACTGGCGCGGCTCTGCGACGCGCCGGATCTCTACCTCAAGTGTGCCAGGCACCTCACGAACTGTTTCAAAGCGGTGAAGGAAACCGAGGGATGGAGATTCCTGCAGAACCACGACCCCTGCCTAGAGCTTGAGATTCTCCGTTTCATGGAAGAACATGAAAAGGTAATGGTATAAAGATCAATTATCGATGTGATGTGAGATCTGGAAGAAGAATCAGTGTAGTGGTTAATTGGTTGTGTTTTTGTGAACAGAGGAAGAGGAAGGCGAGGAAGAGAAGGGAGGATGGTAGGTTATACACGGAATTGAGCGAAGCGATGGTATGTCTGGAGCACATATGCACGGAGGGGTGCACGGAGGTGTGGCCGTTTGATGTGGAGGTCAGGCGAGAGAGAGAACCGTGTTCAATGTTCGGCACGTGTCAGGGTATGCAAAATTTGATTCGACACTTCGCCACCTGCGAGAGCGTTAAGCGACGGTGTTTACGGTGTAAGCGCATGTGGCAACTCTTCAGACTTCATTCCTCTATTTGCCTGCGACAAGATACCTGCAAGGTTCCTCTGTGCAGGTCAACATCCTCCCTCTTTTACCTCTTTTATGTTTTTCATAATCTGTATTCTACATATAAACCATTAATTTATTATTTAATCAAATAATATTAACAACGGCGACAATGATAATTTCACCGTGAATATTCTTTCTCCGTCACTACGAGCGCCGAATAGGTCTTGTGGCGTTAGTTTTTTGTCATTATATTCTTTGTCAGAATAAATATACATTTCGTAAATTGAAAAAGTTTATGTACGATAGATGATATGACAATAGGAAGAAAGAGACAAAAGCGAAAAAATAAATGTGAAATAACTGTTTGTGATAAATGAGTATCTATATATTTTAGTAAAGATCAAAGATGAATGGATATTCTCTACTGTTGGACACGTTGGAAGAGAAAGAAGGAAGTGTCACGATGATATGTGGTATTGTCTTATAAGAGAAAAAAAGAGATGTAACAATGAAGGTTGAATAGGTAGGTGTTTGTGATACATGAGTGTCTAGATTTCTATGTACTTTTGGTTAGGATAAGATTAATGGATTCTAAATGCTATTTGAAGCCTGGTGACCGAGAGATATGCAAATAAGATTGGTGATACAAATTTGATAAAAATAAAAGTAAAAATTAGGTGCCAAATAAGTGTTGACGTATGGATGCTTTGTAAATCATTGTCTTTTTTGGTAACTACGCAAAATCCTTATTGTAAATCATTGTCCTTTTGGTAACTAAGTAAAATTCTTAGTTGTGCCCGAGTCATATTATAGCTATATTAGGTGGTAGCTGCTTTGGCTTTACTTTGCTGTTTCATCGTACACAAACATTCCATTTTTTTTTCTCACTTCCAACATCAATAAAATAACACTTTTTCCATTTTAAATTTAAAAATGAATCAACTAAAAGAAATCACAAATATTTCTTTTTTATTAAGTATTAGAAAGATGTTGGAAGAGGGAATGTATACATCTAAAACTTTACTTACAGGTCTTTTAGGTTATAAGGAAATTTAAACTTTCTTCTTACAAAAGAGAATATATATATATATATATATATATAAATGAAACAAAGGGCAACATGTTACAGTTTGCTTCTTTATTACGTACCTTACTCCTAAGTTCGTTCCTGACATTCATGGATAAACGTAAATAGTTTGTACGTCTAGTGGATAATTTATTAGGACAATTCACAAGGTTTTTACTTTTTTTATTATTTTATTTCTATATAGTTAAATGGTTATTTTTTGTGTTAAATATATTGAATTGTTAAATGGTTATTTTTTGTATTAAATATTTATTAGTGATAATGAGACTTTAGAAATGTAAATTTTAATTTACAAATTATTTTGTAAAATTGAATTATGTTTAAAGTTTAATTTTTAATATAGTATTATATAAATTAATTAGAATCTATTTTATAAAATTTATTATTTTATTATATATTGATTCACTTGTTATTAAATTATTATCTTCGTTAATATCTAGTTCTATCCATAATATATATATATATATATATATATATATATATATACCGTGAGAAAAATATATACAAATTATATTAATTAATAATAAAATTGATTTAAATATATAAATAGATATCTACTTTACTTTAGCACTATTCTATTTTTGTACCTTATCTTTACATCAATAAAAAGTTAATGAGGTAGGCATGGCTGTTGTCCTCTTTTCACAGACAACCAAAACCCTGACGCAACTCATAGGATGTACAGTGCCAACTCCTATACAGTTATTATTACATATTAGACCTAACTTTTAAGTTCGGAGCATGGTTCGGGAACAAGCCAAACATGCGTGCTTCGGTGACAGTGAGAGGTTCCCTCCTCAAGGATTATAATTATGACCCTAGTGGATGATATACAACAAATTTCATTAATTATCAATTAAAAAAAAGCAATAATGGAACAACAAATTAGTCTTTATCTATCAACTGGACTAGTGGATTAAACCGGCCAGACAATTTACTAAGCGAATTAATAAGCTCGCACTGATCTTACACATCATGTTTCGTAAGTTGTAGCAATCGATCACCAAATTGTTTACCATAGTGATCTCGTGTTCTCACGGTCTTGTTTGTTTTAATCTTTGTTTATCTTGGTTTAAGTCTTGTATAGTATTATTTTATTGATAGGTCTGGGTTAACATTGTTGTTTTGACTTAATAATGTGGCAGTCAAATCAGATTAAAAATGGAGCAAGGGAAGAGGAAAGGTGACGCAAGGTGGGAACTACTAGTGAGGAAGGTGGCCTCGGCCAAAGCCATGGCTTCCTTGGCACTGCCAAAAAGGAAGATGGTTGAGGAAAGTAGACGAGAGGTACCATAAAAATACCTGCGAATACTGCCCTGCTTCTGTAGTCCCGTGTACTATAAAATAGTATAAAAAAGAGTTAGATTTTAACATTTAAAAGATTCTAATATTTAAAAATTTTACTTATAGAGTTTAAGAAAATGCTAATAAAAGAATTTTGTTTAAGATCTACCAGTAATACAGTCATATAAAATTTTCACCAGTAAAAAAGACCCATAAACTAACTTAAATGACTGCCGAAATGTAAGCAAAGTGAACTTTGAAAAATTATAAACTCCTAACATTATCTGCTTAGGAAGAAAAATTCAAGAGACTTAACCTTTTTCTCCTTTTTTATTTTGTGTGAAAAATTATTTATTTCCATATACTGTGAAAAAAACGGTTAAGACACTTATTTTAAGTTATAACATATAAAAAAAAATTAAATTTCCCGTTTTTATTTTTGTATTCTTTTCCTATTTCTTCACTAATTTGTTGTCACAGTAATTATCACTGCTAATTGTATTATTTAATGTTCACGTGTTATAATTATTGGAAAGATCAAAAAGAAATACAAATTATAGATATGTAATTTCAATAGGCTTAAATCTTAAAATTACACAAAATATTACTTAAACTCAAATAATATTTATCGGCAAGGAATAATAAAACATGTACTAGAGATCTGAATTTTACAATCATTCTAGTTAAAACATCATTTTCTTATATATATGTCTATATATCATTAAGACCCTTTAGAAAAGAAGCAAATGTAAAATATAAGAATTAAAAAACATCATTTATATAGCAGGAAGCACATTTTTTTTTCAAATTATTTGTTTTTAATATCGTTTAATATTATCTTCGAACTGTCTTGGTGTCTTCTAATATTTAAGAAAGACTCTTAAAGTATGATGTATATAAAGTGCAAATTTTTTTCTTACACGTCAATTTGCTATGTATGTAGAGAAAGCTTGAAAGTACAAGATAAGTAAACTCAATTATCTTATCAAGAAAACTAATTGGTGTTACAACGAGATAATTGTAGTTAATTATAACACTTTGCATAAGTTATAAACTCACTACTAAAAGAACGTTTTTCACTTAAAAAAACATTCTAAATCGAATATAGATATAATCATTGTAGAAAATGAAAGACTTTCTACATCAATTAAAAATATAGGAAAATGGTAGAGAACTAGAGAGGACATTTCTACACCAGTAATGAAGTGCAACCAATTTAGAAAGGTATATATAATATCGAATGTACAAAAAAGGAGAAAAATATATTTCTCCAAAGCGACTGTTTTGGTTACTGGGTCCGAGACTGTCGTTCCTCCTTCTTCTTGACTATGCCGATGCGACTTTCTACGACGTAAAAGTTCCTCTCCACGATACCGATCGGTTGTGACCTGCAAGAAACACTCTGACGCTTAAGTCAGATTAGTTTCAAGGAGATCAGGGTGATTATTATTTAAAAGTGTCATTACCTGGACTTTAATCTCATATTTATAGACCTGATTCTTAATAATAACCATTAAGTGCTAATCAATACCATATCAATGTCGTATATTTTATTTCCTATTGCTTGTTATTTGGTCATTAAAGCCATATGTTATGTTCCTGATAGCATTAATTGGCCTTTAATGCATATCAGCAATAAGCCAACTGCATCATGCCCAATTGCCTCATGCCTGACTCCTCCGTCCTTGCTGATCGGTCCAACTCCCCGTCAGGCCATTCCTCTTTTAGTGGCTACCGGGTACACTACATAAGCCCCCCTAAACCCCGAGCGGCAACTTACGCGAAGGGGTTTCATTGTTATGGTTTCAAAGTCGAATCGGAGCGACTGTTGGTGAGCTGACACATGACATATTGGTTGGAGTTGGTGATGAGTCGTTATTTCTTGAATTATATTTAGTTTATTGCACTTAAATAAATCAGGGAATTGTGTTTAATTGTCTGTTATTTCCCCGAATTCCTTCAATGTCTTATGAGGACTCTCACCTGTAAGACGCATGAAACTTGAGGTCAACAAATGGATCAGTCCAGTCTTGAGAACAAATGGAAGCGCCCTCACAGGATATTGGATGGGGCACAGCTTTCTAATTATCGAAATCAGGTGGGGCAGCCATCCCTCCGCTAAAAGTCCTCTCACGAGGTGGAGGTTGTGGGCCATAATTGGTTCTCAGTATTAAAAAACAACAGCAAAAAAAAAAAACAAACCCCCCACCCCCCCCAGAAGGTCAGAAAAGGACACATAAAGAAGCCCCACACCCCAGTCCCCTCCCAATGACCCCGCCCACAAAATCAGAATCCGAATCAATTGCAGAATGCCACGCATATGGCTTAGATGCAGTATGCCGCAAAGTACGTCAGCAATGGGATGCACATTATCCAATGGAATGAAAAAAAAAAAAGGACTCACATAGACTCTAAAGATAAATTTCTAGAATGCGCTATCTAACCTAGAAAATTTCTATCAATCTCAGGATCAAAGGGTTGGTATAGGCCCAGGATTTCCCCTAGTCAATGCACTAAGTCACAATCACCCTGAAATCATGAAACGATAGCAGCAAAAATTCAAAAAAAAAACACACAAAACAACCTAAGCAAACAAATCACACATACTCAAACATACAAGACAACACAGATACAAACACTCAAACAACACATTAACAACACAAAAGACCTAAGACCGAACCGTTGATCCCTGGCAACGGCGCCATTTTGATGAGAGGGTCGCACCTCCACAAAAATTGATTGCAAAATTAATGCAGTATAGACAGGAAGTGAGCTCGCAGTTCGTCTCTCAAGGACCAAATTGGGTTCATTCATAGTCAAACACGTAGTGGGGGTTTTGAAATGTTTTTGTGATTTAATGAAAATGAGATGAACTAAATTACAACACGAACATAAACACTGACGTAAACCCCAATATTAAACAGAGAATTAAAATGATTGGTCACTTAAACTAACATCGTAACTAAAATATCACAACCACGAATGATAAGTGTGAAAAACAGATGTTTTGACACTTATAAAGAATCTCAATTTTGTAATTATTCATGTTATTACTCAGTGAAAAGTCGTAATAGGAAGTAGATTGTGTTGTAAATTATGTTCAGGATAAGTTGTACAAAAGGGAATCTGTCAGCCAATTCTCGCATAGCAGAAGCAAAATTCGCAGAGGCCAAGGAGAATACATTCGCACAGCGCACCACATTGGTTCGCTGAGCGAATAACATCAAAGAAGAATGAAAATTGCAAAATTCGCACAGCGCACCAGAGGCTGTGCGCTTAGTGAACTTGTGCAGTTGAGTGTTGTATTAATTTTAATTCGCACAGCGAATCTGCTTTTGTGCGCGGAGCGAATGGAGCAGTTATGAGAATTCAACGTGCTTTGAATGATAGCAGGGGGATCAGACTGAAAAGA